TTAAATCTTACCAGAATCGCAGGTGCATTCGGCAGATGCTTACATGTAGCTTTCTCTGAACTGAATCCTAATATTCGTTCAGTATTCGTAAGTCACGAGCATATATTCTTGCAGATCGTAGCTGTTTCTTGACAACATTCGTGCCGTTTAAGCAGAATCCCACGAATATTCTTGAGTCCATCGAAACAAAGTTGTCACTGAATTCTACAGGGTCAAGATTTCTAACAGAAATGTGCAAAATTCCAAGATTCCTCACGATAGCTAAAATTTGCAAACTCCTGGCGGTTCGTGGAATGCATAGTGGGAGTGGAATAGGGGTATGAGACTAAAAGGGCTCCGTACGATCACTTTTCAACCGACAAACCGAAATCTGAACGCATGGAAAATCTTGTAGGATATTATCTACATCCGTGTAATCTACACTTTAGTTGTGAGGTGCGAATTACTTAATCCGAGTTTTTAAAGGTCCCTTTCGGACACTTAATGCAAATGAGATCACAGGAATGCTCTTGAAATATTTAGTGCACAGATTGCAAACTATGTTTTGCTTATTTTAGGTTCCCACATGAAGAAGTTTCTCTCAAAGATTTAGTCTCCCTGAACCATGAATGATAAGAAAATAATTCAGTGTCTAGCCCCAAAAAAGGTGTTCAACATCGTCATAGCTCCAGCACATACATGTACCATTAAAAAACGCCAAACAACAATTAAATTTTAGCATACGAGGTTAGCATTTGAAAAATTCAGAAGACAACGATTTACACATTCGATAGAAAATTTTCCATGACATTCTTTTTGGCGCTATCGAGCGATACAGCAAATTATTTCAAAACAAGATAACTTAAAAATAAATGCGATTTTGTATCTTTTAAGCGAAGTTAACACACCCTCACATCACATATGACCCATGTTTCTTCTAAAATCTCAAAATACCTGAAGAAATAATTTTTATCTTACCATGCCGTTTGAAGATCCACTTGCGCCTCGCTCACTCGCCTCGAGGCGATCAGTACACTCTCTGTGCGACCAGCTAAAATGACAAGACTGTCTAACTTTCTTAACATTAAAGGACGCAGCTTCCAGCACAATCTAACACGATCGAAATATCCGGAGCCATGGAAGCTGATCACAAACATATCGAGGATGAGCCCACTTTGATTGGTACTTGAGCAACCTTTTGGAAACCTGTGACCGCCATTTAGGAAATCACACCTAAGATACTCAGCCATTGTTGGTGAACGGCATTATGTTTGGTCAGGAACGGTAACTTCAGAAAGGATAGGAATATGTTTACTATATCACGATTATTATTGTAAAGGACTGAACACTTTTTCATTATATATATTTGGCAACCTTAAAACATCATTATATAAATTATTTATTCTATAAATCTAAATAATTATTTTTATTATTATCATTATAATATGGCGACCTATAAAAAGTTGGACGAATACATAAGACACATTGGTTCAGTCAGATGAATTGATAAATGATAAAAAAGAATATTACTAGATATGTAAACAGAGTTGTCATTCCAACGGCATTCTAGCTCATTCCGCCTTCATTATGACTAGAGTATTAGGGGTGGATCCAGGATTATTTGAACGGGTGAGGGATCCACGGATGCGAAGCTAACCATTCCCCCTCTTGGCGTGGGGTTCGGGGCCCTCTGAAGTGTGTTGGTATTTTAGAGGGCAAACTGTGTCACTTTATGTACAGTTTACAACTACACTGATGCTCATAAGTTAAGCAACACTTTCTTATTTCTCGAATTTCTCAGCAACCAAAATTTTTATTGAGGCAAAATTTGTACAGTAGCTAGATATTTCTCTTGTTTTTACTTTGACTTACTGGACTGTGGCATTAGAGTACTATTTACTGTTGGACACGATAGAATATGCAGTGGGGGTGCCACTTGCGAAAAACACAGTTTGGCCATGCCATGAGGAGCTTCCAGTTTGGTTAGTTTCATGGGCACAGTTTATTATTTTGGACCAACCAATGGTTAGAAGAGGACTCAACGAGGTAATCAGATGGCAAAAAATGGTAAGTCATCGTGCTGGGGTGCCAAAGAGACAGATTGAAAGGCAACAAAAAAGCAGCACCAAGTCAAGTGCCCAAGCTGGTGGCAAAATGGCGCCAAACTCATCATGTATTGGACAAGCCTCTTTCTGGTAGACCAATATTAACCGACGCAAGAGATGAAGATATCTGGTTCGATTATGCCACCAGGACCAGTTCATATAAGCCAAACAATGAAAAATTGCCACCGTACGTCATTCAAGGAAGGTGCCCTGGTCAACAATACAGAGACGAAATACCATTGGGGTGCATACAATAACATATTCAAGCAAATCCAGAAAGAAAAATCATTTTGGTGCAGGACAATGCGCCCATCCAGAAAGCATGGTCCGTGCAAGACGCACTGCAACAGCGCGGTATCCCACATTTGGATTGGCCTGCATATTTATCAATTCTCAATGTAGTAGAACATGCTTAGGATATGATTGACAGGGCAGTAAATGAGAGACAACGTCCAGTTAGAAACATTAGAGAGGTCCAGCAGGCAGTAAATGAAGAATGGAACCGGCTCTCAAAGCAAGATTGGCAGAATTTGGTGGCAAGTTGCAGGAGACAATGTGAAGCTGTTGTTCAAAACCAGGGAAAGCACACCCGATATTTATTGCATAATAGACGATTAATCATCT